AGTTAAACTCTTGTTTTCCAAGTTTAACTAAACCCGGTTTAAGCAAGTTTAAGGCCTCAAAATTAGATTATCGGTTTTTAAATGTTTTGTTTAACAACAATTAAGCATTTTTTAGTTTTTATTGAATATCTTCTAATTTATAATTTTTTTTTTAAATTTCTTTGCAGAAAGTAACCAGCGATTCCTCTTATGACAATGGTTTTGCTGCCCAACTGCCCGCTATGACAGGATTAACACAAACCTTCCGCAATCCTTTTAAAACAGATACCAACCTCTATGGTGCTGAGAAATCCGACTCTAGCGATAGCAAACGTGCTAATGAGAAGCTTTTAGGCGGTCCTCGTGATAAGAGTCCTGAGGCCGAGAGAGATCAAGAAGTGATGGGAGGTTTCTATAGCTCTTCAGCAAGAAGAAGATATTCACGAGAAAGTCGTTCTCGTTCAAGAACACCCACACGCTCACAATCCAATACTCCCGAGGCATCACAATCACCACAGCCTTTAACCTTATTGGGCGCCGAAGAGAGTCAGGCCAAGGATGTGGTTTACGAACGCAGCACTATGTATGATTTTAGCTCACGTTTTGCAGAGGAAGACGAGCAGAGAGCCTTAAAGACTAAAATGGATAAAGATATGAGATTTTTACCGACAGGCTTGGGCGCCGATGCCACAGCTAGTGATATAGATTTGCGTTTACCCTTCCAGCCCATGACCAATTATACACCAGCCACGGAAATAGATGGTTCCATAACCTCACACTTACCCATTACGTATAAAGTGTATGAAGTGGATGTGCCGCGTCCGGTATATGTGGAACTGAGGCAGCATTTTAAATCGGATCATACCACCGATCCCAGGTTGCGCAGAATTTTGGGTTTGCCAGAGTTGTCACAATCGAAAACTTCAGCGGCTTTAAGTAGAAAAGTGCGCAAGACCAGCCATAGTAGTAGTATAGCCTCACCCTCGGAGTCGGAAGAAGCGTCACCCAAATACTATACACCTCCTACTAATAGGGAAGCAGAAGAAAAACCTAAAAGCCGGGCGGATCCACGGGGAGATCCTAGAGCGGCAGCAGCGGAATCTAGAACAGATCCTAGAAGTGAAGCAAGAACAGAAACACGCTCAGATCCCCGCTCCGATCCCAGACGTCAAGATCCGCGCAGTGCCGCCGCCGCCAATTCCTCAAATTCCAACTCTGTTCCTAGCGGTACCGCCAATGCTGCTGGTGGACAAAAACAAAATGTGGAAATACGCAATCTTTTGCAAAAATCCGAATGGTATAAGAATCTTAATTCGAAATTCAAAATAATGGTTAATCAACAGTTGGCCTTGGTTTCCACCGAACTGAAAAAGTTTCATCAGGATCCCTCGCCCAATAAAATCTTTGACATTTCGTTTATAGTCAATAATCAGACTTTGCAACAGATCTTAACCAATTTGGGCATTTATATCGATGACAATGGTGAGGTGGCTCATATAGACAACGATAATGAAGAGTTAATGGACTCTGGGCCAGATATGATGGGTGCGGGTAATCTGAAGACGAATATTAATTTACCCAATATGTCGCAGCCTCCTCCCAATGTGGGTCCTGGTGGCGGTCCTGGTGGTATGCAGCAAAATAATCCTGCCTTGGATTTCTTAAGGGCACCACCACCCATGGTAGTGGCCCAGGGACCACCGCCCATTGCCTTGGGACCCATGTTCCAAAGACCTCCCATGCAGGTGCAAGGTTTTGCCCGTCCCTCCCTGTTGGGTATGGCTCCAGCTGGCCAGGGTAATCCCCTCAATCCCTTTGCCAATCCTTTGAATATAAATCCCAATTTCTTGGCAAATCCTAATCTTTTAGGGGGACCCTTTGGTCCAAATTTCGGTCCTAACATGGGCATGGGACCCAATATGCAGCAACAACAGCAACAGCGTAATTTCAATAACAATCAACGTAATAATCAGCGCAATAATAGAAGAAAAATTTAGCATACGGACTATAATGCTAACAATAAACCTGAACCCGATCCTCCACCTCCTTCTATTACCTTACAACCTCCACCTCCTCCACCTTCGCCCTCTACTTCAACTACTCCTTTAGAAGCTTCTTCGAAGGCTTCTAAATAGTTAAAAAAAATGTGTATAAATTTTAATCTAATCTAACTCTAAAATAATCTTTGCCTATAAGACTTGTTTTCTCTTTTAGAAATTATATACTAATAGTTTTAAATTATTACATTTTTTAACTTTTAATCTTTTTTTTTTCTTCTTCTGTTAGTTTTTAATTAAAAGTTTTGCATTCATTACAAACCAACAATAACAAAAAAAGACTCTTGTAAATTACATCATTTATTGTTGTTTTTTTTTCTCTTCATTTATAATATAAGGCATAGTATCACCAAATATGTGAGTGGAAATTAAATAGTTTTAATAATAAAATACTTTAAATTATCTTTAAATATTTTAAGGGTAATTTTCAATACAAGTTAATGAAAATAATAAAAAATTAATACAAAAAAAATATAACGTGGTATTTTTCTTCCTTTTAAACTAAAATTTGTATATTTTTAGCAAAATTTCCGCCCAAAATATGGCAACACCAAAAAAATTTTTACACCAAAATATTAACCATTTGATTATAAACTATTTAAAAGCTTTACATTTAGTTAAACTTTAATTTTCCAAGTTTAACTAAACTTGGTTAAACCAAGTTTAAGACTTGAAAAGTGAATTTTTAGAAGCTAGCTAGAACTAAAAGGCCTAAAATGTCATAATTTTTTATTCGGCATCATTTTTTAAAAAAATATTTAAGTATTTTACCGAAAATATGGCAACGCCGCCCAAAACCTTTACATAAAATTAATTGTTTTTTAATTATATGCTATTTAAAAGCTTTAATTTTAGCTAAACTCTCATTATCCAAGTTTATTTAATCTTGGTTAAACCAAGTTTAAGACTTGAATAGTGAATTTTTAGAAGCTAGCTAGAACTAAAAGTCCTAAAATGTCATAATTTTTTATTTTGTTTTATTTTTTTAAAAAAATCTTAAAATTGTGCCGAAAATATGGCAACACCGCCAAAAACTTTTACATAATATTAATAGTATGCTAATTATATACTATTTAAAAGCTTTAAATTTAGTTAAACTCTCATTTTCCAAGTTTAACTAATCTTGTTTAATCCAAGTTTAAGTTGTAAAAATCAAATTGTTAAGTTTTAAAATAAAGCAAAAACCTTAACTAAACTCACTTTTTCGAAGTTTAAGTCACATAAATCGTGTTTTCAGTTTTTAAACTTTCCTTAATTCTTAAATCCTGTTTAATTTTTGTTTTATTTTGGCGTATTACTTGTTTTTAACAAAAATTCCTCGGAAAGTATGGCAACACTAAAAAAATGTATACTGAAAATTAATTGTTTATTTTCAATATTTTGTTATAGTGTACCAAATTTAGTTAAACTTCCAGTTTCCAAGTTTAACTAAACTCACTTTCGAAGTTTAAGTTACAAAATCGTGTTTTCAGTTCTTAAACTTTCCTTAATTCTTAAATGCAATTTAATTTTTGTTTTGACGTTTTACTAGTTTTTAACAAAAATTCCTCGGAAAGTATGGCAACACTAAAAAATTGATACTGAAAATTAATTGTTTATTTTCAATATTTTGTTATAAGGTTCTAAATTTAGTTAAACTTCCAATTTCCAAGTTTAACTAAACTCACATTTTCGAAGTTTAAGTCACAAAAATCATGTATGCAGTTTTTAAACATTCCTTAATTCTTAAATCCAGTTTAATTTTTGTTTTGTTTTGACGTTTTACTTGTTTTTAACAAAAATTCCTAGAAAAAATGGCAACACTAAAAATGTTTATACTGGAAATTAATTATTTATTGTCGAACTTTTGTTTGACGCTAACAAATTTAGTTAAACTTCCAATTTCCAAGTTTAACTAAACTCACTTTTTCGAAGTTTAAGTTACATAAATCGTGTTTTCAGTTTTTAAACTTTCCTTAATTCTTAAATCCTGTTTAATTTTTGTTTTGTTTTGACGTATTACTTGTTTTTAACAAAAATTCCTCGGAAAGTATGGCAACACTAAAAAATTGATACTGAAAATTAATTGTTTATTTTCAATAATTTGTTATAAGGTACTAAATTTAGTTAAACTTCCAATTTCCAAGTTTAACTAAACTCACATTTTCGAAGTTTAAGTCACAAAAATCATGTATGCAGTTTTTAAACATTCCTTAATTCTTAAATCTTGTTTAATTTTTGTTTTGTATTGACGTTTTACTTATTTTTAGCACAAAATCTGTAGAAAATATGGCAACACTAAAAAATTTTATACTGGAAATTAATTATTTATTGTCGAACTTTTGTTTGACGCTAACAAATTTAGTTAAACTTCCAATTTCCAAGTTTAACTAAACTCACATTCTCGAAGTTTAAGTCACAAAAATCATGTATGCAGTTTTTAAACATTCCTTAATTCTTAAATCCTGTTTAATTTTTGTTTTGTTTTGACGTATTACTTGTTTTTAACAAAAATTCCTCGGAAAATATGGCAACACTAAAAAAATTGATACTGAAAATTAATTGTTTATTTTCAATATTTTGTTATAAGGTACTAAATTTAGTTAAACTTCCAATTTCCAAGTTTAACTAAACTCACTTTTTCGAAGTTTAAGTCACAAAAATCATGTATGCAGTTTTTAAACATTCCTTAATTCTTAAATCTTGTTTAATTTTTGTTTTGTTTTGACATTTTACTCGTTTTTAACAAAAATTCCTCGGAAAAAAATGGCAAAAAATTAGGTACAATATGATTGTGAATTGAACAATTATTTCAGTCACAAATTTATTTTATCTTCAAAATTTCCCGGTATTTGAGGGAAATTTTATGCCGATTTGATAACATAACCGAAAAAAAGTTAAATTTTTCGTTTATCTCTTGGTTTATAAACAAAAAAAACTGTTTTTTTTAATTTCCTCTAAGAAAAAAGTCCATTATATATTTATTTTGTTGTTTTTCTTTGTAATTGCTTATTTTTTTAAAAAGAATTTTGAATTTTAATTCAATATGTTTTACATTTAAATGTTTTATTTTAATTAAAATATAATTAAACCAGTTTTGTGTGTGTGTGTGTTAAACTTAAATCATGTTTGTTGTAGGCAATTAGTTAGTTAAATATTAAGAATGTTTGCAAGTTTTGTTTTTGTTTTTAAATTCATTCATTATTCTCTTTTGTTTTTTTTGAGGGGAAAAAATTAATAATAATAATAGTAATAATAAAGATTAAGAATTATAAAAGAAAATTGTTAACAAATTGTTATTAAGTTTTTAAATAAATAAGTTTTATTTTAAACTCACATACATTGTGCCGCCATATCATCAGCATCAATGCCCAGCATGGCCAAGTCATCTAATTCCTCTTGCCGGCGATTCTTTTCGCTTTCTGTGGGCGAGGGTGGTGGCTGAGGAATATCGGCTAGATCAATGTCTGTATTAGTGGTTATTTGTTGCTCCGCTTGTTGTGGTGTTTCTGGAATTTCCTCATGTTTAGGACTGTTGCTTTTTACTTCAGGGGGTATGGGTATATCAGGCATTTCTGTTTCCTGCTCTTGTTCAGGCTCTACTATAGTTTGTGGACTAGGTGCTGAAATTTCGCTCACTTCAGGGGGTAGTTCAATGTTGGGCGGGGCTGTTGGCTGTGTCTCGATTTTATTTAAATCTAATTGATTTTGTGAGTTATCATCTTCTAGTTCCATATCAGCATTGCTGATAATGGTCGTGTTAGCAGCTGTGGGGTTAGAAGGTGGCCTATTGAACACTAAAGGCTCATTCATGGACATTTGTGAGGCCTCGTCTAAGCCCAACTGTGAAGTCTCCTCGAATGTTACTAAATGTATGCCATCTTTGGCTAATTCTTCGGGCTGCATGACAGCCTCGTCATTGATTATTTGAGTTTCGCCTGAAAAATAAAAAAAAAATATTTAAATTGAAAATTTTCACAAAATAAATTTATTTATTGGTTTTTGCAATGATTTAGAAACCCAAACTGTGAATTTGAGAACTTAAACTTAGTTTAAGCGAGTTTAGTTAAACTAGGAAAATGCAAGTTTAGCAAAAATTTTCACTTTCAAACAAATCTTAAACAAAAACCAATTAATTTAGTGAAAAAATTTTTGATGTTGCCATACTTTCCAAATAAATTTTGCAAATAAAAAATAGAATAATTCCACAAGTTAAAAAAGGGCCTTATTTGCTGTTAAAAAGTTTATATTAAATCCAAAAATTTGATTTTTGGAAGTTAAACTTTGATTAAGCGAGTTTAGTTAAACTAGGAAAATGTAAGTTTAGCAAAAATTTTCACTTTCAAACAAATCTTAAACAAAAACCAATTAATTTAGTGAAAAAAATTTTTGATGTTGCCATACTTTCCAAATAAATTTTGCAAATAAAAAATAGAATAAGACCACAAAGTTAAAAAAGGGCCTTATTTGCTGTTAAAGAGTTTAATTTTGAATCCAAAAAATTGATTTTGAATAGTTAAACTTTGATTAAGCGAGTTTAGTTAAACTAGGAAAATGCAAGTTTAGCAAAAATTTTCACTTTCAAACAAATCTTAAACAAAAAACAATTAATTTAGTGAAACAAATTTTAGATGTTGCCATACTTTCCAAATAAATTTTCCAAATAAAAAATAGAATAAGACCACAAAGTTAAAAAAGGGTCTTATTTGCTGTTAAAGTATATATATTAAATCCAAAAATTTGATTTTTGGAAGTTAAACTTTGATTAAGCGAGTTTAGTTAAACTAGGAAAATACAAGTTTAGCAACATTTTTCACTTTCAAACACTTCATAAACAAAAAAACAATTAATTTGATGAGAAATTTGTTTTAATGTTGCCATATTTTTGGAAGAAATTTAGATAAAAATGTAAAAAAGCCAAAAGTTTAAAAAGAGCATTAAGTTTAGTTAAACTTGGAAAATTTAAGTTTAACTAAATTTTAACGTTTTAAACAAATCTTTGGCAAAAAACTATTAATTTCATGTGATGAAATGTTGGGTGTTGCCATATTTTGGCAAGAAATTTTGCTAAAAATGTAAAAAAATGGCTTTAAATAAAAAAATTAGTTTATGTTACAATTATAACTTCCTCATAAATCTCAAAATCTAAATTTTGAGTCTTAAACTTTGTTTAAGCGCGTTTAGTTAAACTCGCCAAATTAAAGTTTAACTCAATTAGAAGCTTTTAATTAAATCTAAGGCAAGAAAGTATTCTTTTCATGTAAATAATTTTTTGGCGTTGCCATATTTTTAACAAAAATTTTGCTTAATTAAAAAACAACATCTAAATATATTGTTATTTGCTTACCTTTAGCTTTATTTTTCGCCAACTCCTCCTCATTGTCACTCTCCTCGCCGGGTTTCTTTTCACCGGGGAATATAATATTCAAAGCATCTTCCAAGTCTTTCGGCAAAGGTCCCTTACCAGGCGGTGGCGCTTCAGTTATGGGTTTGGGTACAAACTCTTCTGATTCTTCTACATCTATACCGGGCGGTAACATATCTTTATCATCTTCGGTCTCTTGAGGTGGAGGCGGTGGTGGTGCTTGACCCATTATATTAACAAATTGTACAGGATCTGGCATTAGATCGTCATAGTCTACCATCATACCCGCATCAGGATGGAAGGGTGGTGCATTGCCGTAAGCATCTTCCATCATGGCCATTTGTATTTGAGCAGCTGTAGGTGCGGGTGGACGACCAAAGGCTCCGCCGGTAGCATCCATAGTGTACATAAAACCGCCTGCTTGTTGCTGCTGTTGTTGTGCTTGTGCATCCATAGTAGTTTTATCACCCATTTCTCCGCCAGCTCCAGTGGTTTGTTTCTTAAATACCGGCATTTTACCTATAAAAGGTAGTTTTTTACCTCCTGCTGCTGAAGCGGCACTAGTCGATGAAGAACTGGAGCTTTTAGGTTTGGGTTTATCTTTTTTATCTTTATTCTCTGAAGATTTTTTATCCTTTTCCTTGTCTTTTTCCGGTACGCGGGGCCTAAATTCGGCAGGTCTTACTACCGGTTTCTCTACACGACTGCTGCCACCAGAACGTGAGCGGGAACGAGAAGAACGTCTTCGCCGATCGTAAGGAGAGCGTGAACGTCTACGTAAAGAACGGGAACGTGAACGATCATTACGTCTATTACGATTACGCCAACTGCGTGGTGACATACGTCCTCGACTGCGGGAACGAGAACGTCTAACATTGCGGCGATAATCACGCCCACGGCTACGACTGCGTGTAGGACTACGTGTACGTGAACGTCTAGTAGTACGTCTATCATCTCTACCCCGGTCCCGATCGCGATCTCTGCCACTATCTCTGTCTCTTCGATCGGAACGTTCACTTCTATTCTCTCCGCCAGCCCGTTCGACCGCCTTATCACGTTCTCTATCCCTGTCACGATTTTCACTTTCTACTCTTTGAGCCGTAGAACTGCGGCTTTGTTGTTCATCTTTCGATTTATTTTTCAATTTTCCCTTCAACTGTTCCAATAATTTCTTTTCACTTTCACTTATTACCGGTTGTACGGTATTCCATTGTTGTATTATCGAGTCATCGGCATCTTGGGGCTTTTCTCCATCTTTATTGCGTACACCCTCCTGTACTACAGTCCATTTACCCCCAGCTGGCGGCTGAGTAGCCGGTGATTGTTGTTTCATTTTCAATTGAGGCGGTGGTGGTGCCTGTTCCTCTTCATTTTTAATATTTTCCTGTTTGCGCATTGATAGACGTATCGATACTGCTGGATTGGGATTATCCAGATCGGCCACCGTTACTGGAGGCATTTTTTTCTTTTTCGGTTCATCACTATCCGTAGAGGAGGAAGAATCACTGCTCGATGATGAACTACTATCACTGTTCTTCTTGCGTTTTTTATTTGACTTCTTTTTCTTCTTTTTCTGTTTTTTATCGCTCTTCTTTTTACGTTTCTTATTAGTTTTATCATCATCCTTTTTGGTTTTCTTGCGCTCCGCAGCCGTAGTGGAAACGGAAGTGATTTGCTGGGGCAAAGGTGTAGATTTCTGTTCATTTAAGACAATTTGACGATCAGCCAACCAATTGACTTCGTAGTGGGGATTCTCCTCTAAGAAGGCCTGAAGAAATTAACGAAAATCATATAATTCCAAGAAAATCTTTTAAATATTTTCCAACTTACATTATAACGATTGGCATGCAATTGTGATTTCAAGTGTGTAGAAGCACAGTGTAAGTCCCCCATCCATATATTACACAATTTACAAAACCAAGCTGTGGCTGGGACAAAGAAAGTTAAACCTCTTATGGGTGTTCTCTTGGTAGGAGCATTTTCATATGTTGGAAATTGCTAAAGGAAACAATGAACAAATTTTTCTTATTTAGCTTCTAATCGTAAGGAATTGCTCTTCTCTAATACTTACATCTGTTACCATGTCCGTATGCCAGGGTGTTTCAATACTTTCTCTATCCATATGATTTTTCGTATGCAAATGATTGAGATAATCCTTTGCTGTCTTGGGAAAAACATTACAGGTCTGACACCAATGCATTTCGGGATCATAGAAGACATAATTGAAACGTTCTTTTTTATTGGGTCTGCAAAGGAAAATGTTGAAAATTTTGTTTGGTATTGAGTATTTTGAGGATTATTTAGAAATACTTTCCATGTTTTTGGTCTAATTTAATAGAAATGTTAAACGCTGGAGGATTATATACAGAGATTTAAGGAAAACCTTTAATTTTTATCTAAATTGTATGATAAACATGATTTAAAAGAAAGCTGGAACACATAAAAAACTAACAGAAAATGTAGGGATTCTTACGTTCAATAGTTAAGTTGGAGAGAGATCGAATAGTAGAATACAAGTTGACAATCATCGAACGATGGAATCTTTTCATAGCACATTTTCTGATGAGTTGAAAAGAGAAAGAGAGGAAGCGAGAGAGAGTGATCGAACAGTAAACCACAACTTCTTAAATTCTTTGTTTACAAGTTATAGTGCTTTAATTGGAAACTGATCAGACATTAGACAGCTGGTAGATTACTTTTAGATTAAGGATAATAACATCGAACGGTGAAAACTTTTCATAGGAGATTCTTTGTCGGTTTGAAGAGACACAGAGATAGAACGATCGAACGGTAGCCCACAATTTGTGGCCTCATTAGATACTCATAGAAGGTTAGGAGTCTGATCTCTATATCTCCTCTTCTTGAGGACTATTGTGATCACATATTGTATTTGAGAAAGATCATTTTAGTCAACTAAAACGTGTCGAGTTGGAAGAAGAAGAAAATTCGAACTATAAACCACAATCTTTGAATTGCAATGAACTGCTCCGAACAATCTTTATTGTGTTGGAAAGAGACATTCGATTAAGAGCAAGTTAGTCATAGATCGTACCTTAGGCTACTGAGATCAGAGAAGTTAAATTTTTGTCATCGGAAACACTTCGAAAAGTTGTTTACAAGTTGTCGCTAACTTCGATCGCACTCTTATCTCCACTTCTTGTGGTTTATTTTGATCACAAGTTGAAGTTTATATCGATATTTGTATTTGAGAAAGTCGAACAGTTGACTACAACAGGTCGGATTGCAAACAGATCAAACTATACTGCACAATATGTGCATTATGTGTTGTAGTTTTTATCTAAAATCTTTATTGTTTCGGAGGGAATTCGAATAGAAGATTGACTTAATTGATCACAAGTTAGCGACATATCGTACATTAGATTGTTACTTGTGAATCACTTGGATAACTGTCATTATATGTTGCATTTGTTATGCGACATTCTTCAGAGTTATTTACAACTTATGGATCGTTTAATTTAGATTTCTTCAATTGCCTAGAACCTAGACATTGTGCAACATCTAGGTACTGTATTAGTCTATAAATATATTGGACAAATTGAAGGAGGGTAGACTGGCTAGTTGACTATGTGAAGAAAAGTAGAGTGAACCTAACGGCACAACAAGGAAGTCACAGACTATGGGGGAATGCTATCTTATTTTACAGCTGTTAACCATCATAATCTAGTTATTATTATAGAGCTCTAAGTCAGTTTCCCCCGACCTAAAAACAATAGTTTAAAGTTTAAGATTAAACATTAAGATTGTGTGTAATTTGTTCCTTGAATGCTTTGCTTAATCCTTTCTTCAGGTTCGCTTTAGAATTATTATTTTTAATAGAGCTCTAAGTCAGTTTCTACTGACCTAAAAGCAATAGTCAATATCGATTTCAATGAAACAATACTGTAGCGTATTATGTTTATTCGGAATATTAGTGGATTTTAGCGCTGTTAACCATCATAATGTAGTTATTATTATAGAGCTCTAAGTCAGTTTCTCCTGATCTATAAACAATAGTTTGAAATTTAAGATTAAACATCAAGTTAGCGTGAAATGATGCTTAATGCTTAAAAAGATTCTTCAGGAATATTCTTCGGGTTGATGTTCGATTTCGACTTGGTGGGAAATCGTTTACAAATTGTAATGATATTTTTTAATTATAAGAATACTGAAAAATTAATTTTATCCAACACAGCAGAATGGCTTTCAGGAACTTTAAACATTCAAGTGATTTATCTCCAAATATCGTTTAATTCATACTTACCTTTAGTTGTATGAGATTTTAAAACACTTATTTAACCTTTAAAAATATATAACAAGATTAAATTATGAAAATTTTTCATCTTACCCCTTTAGATCTTGTTTACTGCGTGCCACATCTTTATCCTTATTCTTCATAGATTCAATCACCTTTTTCTTTAAACGTTCCGGTGAACTATCATCATCATCTTCATCTTTATTAGCAGCTTGTTCTGTTTCAGACGAGGATGAGGAATCCGACGATGAAGAAGATGTTGAAGCTGAAGAACTATCTGAGGATGAAGAAGAACTACGTGTCTTTTTCTTATTAGATGAGTTTAAAGCATTAGAGCTTTGACTAGAACCACCAGCACGTTCACTGCCACCATGTGTTTTTTGTATAGATGATAAAGCTGCTTCTTTCAACATATCATCATCATCTAGAGGTTCATCATCCTTATCGAGATTTTCTTCACCAATTATGCCCGTTAACATATCGATGACATTTTCAATGGTACTCAATTTCTTTTGGATTTGATTCTAAAATTGCATAAAAGAAGGAAAGAGAAAGGAAATAGATTAATTTCTTAGAACTTAAGAGTGTAAAATAATTAATATTTTATTTATGCTTGTTGTTGGCGGCTTATTTTTGGTACGTAGATGAGAAAAAACACACTGGTCATCATCTGTTAGTCCTGGTTAAGTTAAGAACGTAGGAAAAGTGTGGGTAGTGTGGGCACCAGTCATCTTATAATCCTTTTCCCAGCAAGGCTTCCTCTCGTAAGACTTAAGTTTTACGTTTTTACAATTACAATTCATACAAAATACTTAATATTAAGTGAAAAACAAAACCTAATTTACAATTTCCATTTTTTTTTTTAAACAAATTTTAAGAACAAATTAAACAACATAATAAGTTTTTTTTTTTTATAAAATCAAGTACATTTATGGTGTTGAGCTGGCCTTAGTATTGTGTGTTGTTAGATGAAGTAGATAACTTTAATTTGGAGAGGAAATGGACACGCACCCGTTGCAAAACATTTGTTTTTTCTTTTCACTCGCCTTTTTAACATTGTGCTCATTTTGGTTTTGTTTTATACATATTTGTTTTTTTTAAATTTTTATGGTGTTTGCATACATTACAACAACATTTGTAGTAGTTTCAATAAGCTAAAGAAAAATTTAATTATTTATTCACTATTCGTTAAGAAAAAAATTTATTTGTAATTTTATAACTTTTTTTTTGAGAAAGTTTGAGAGAAAAAAAATCAAAATAATACAAAATTCTTTATAATTAAGATCATAAAACATGTTTTACAACAAGTTTATGTAAAAAGCTTAAATAAAAACAAAACTCAAATTCTTTTTAAGAAATATTTAATGCAGGCCTTTAAAGGCTAAAAAACATACCTGTAGTTTTTCATTTTCATCTATAAAGCCTTTGGTGGTGGGTGAGGCTGGAGCACCGCCTGTGTGTAGATCTTTACGTTGTTCTTTTAACATTTTCAATTCCTTTTTCAAAACTGCTGTCTTTTTCAAATAACTGGTGCGTTGCTTTTTCAATTCATCACGTTGATTTTCAGCTTCTTGGGCCACAGCTAGAGTTTTGCAGAAGTTTTTGGGGGGGGGGGGGGGGGGAAATATAAAAAAGTTTATAATTAGTAAACTATTTGTTAAATTGTTTACAACAAAAGTATTTCATTTACAAAGCTTTTTCATTAAAACTTCTTTTAAGAGTGAAGTTTTTTTTTAGAAGGGTTTAGCCACTTTTAAGGGAAAATTTTACTCTACACCTTAAACATCTCCCTGGGTTTTTGCTGTCCTGTTTTTAAGCTGTTTAAAGTTTTCAACAATTTTTTTTTTTAAATAAATTCATTTCTTTTCAAATTAATGTTGCTGTCATTAGGTTTTTTTTTTAATTTATAAAAAAATTATCAATTTTTGTTTTAAACTTGGTTTTAAAAACTTACCATCATGTTGGGGATTGGGCTCTAAGGGTCCGGTAGTATCTTCTGCATGTTTGTTAACTGCTACAGATGTAACATTTGGTGGTGGCACATTTGTAGCCACTTGTGTTTGCGTAGTAGGTTGTACGACTAGTGCTGGTGGTGGTGGTTGTTGTGGTGCTGCCATTTGTTGCATTTGTGTGGGTGGTGGCAGCCATTGTTGTTGACCATAAGCATCTATAAAGTAATAAATTAAAAAATTATAACACCATAAATTTCTTTAACTTACCCACACCCCAGGCTCCGGGTGGTGGATAGGCTGTATTAAATCCTGTTCCCGGTGCCTGCATGGCCACATAGGCATCATTGCTTTGCACAAAACCAGCTTGGGGAGGTGGTACTCCATATTGATTGTAACCGGGAGGTGGTCCATAGGCTTCACCATATAGTTGAGGTGGTGGTGGCGCCATAACACCATATTGTGGAGGCGGCTGATTAGTGGTAGGTGGTGGTTGAGACAATTGCCGCGTTAAGTTGCTGCTTTGCTGTTGAGGCGGTGTATTGGGTTTCTTTTTGGGAGACCAACGGCCTGTTGCGCCACCACCACCGCCACGTCTGGGTGGTGTAGGACTGCGACTTATAGAACGACTTGAACTGCGGCCTCTGCCACGATAACGGTCACGTCCGCCTCCCCTTCTAGGTGGAGAACGTCTACGATCGGGTGAACGTCTACCGCCATAGCGGGGTCTTCTATCGGGTGAGTAGTCACGGTAACGATTGCGCCGTGGTGAAGGCGAACGTCGTCCTCTACCTCCCCGAGGCGGAGGTGAGGGTGAACGTCTGCCACGTGAAGGTGATTTACGTTTACGTGCCGGTGGTGGACTACCGGAGGGTGAACGCCTTCTGGAGGATCGTTCTGAAGCCGTATTTTCTTTTTCTATAGTAGGTGGCTTGGGTGCTGGCTTGTTCGTTTCTATAAAATAAAAATTTCATCATATTGTTCACTTTTTCTTATATTTCTTGCTTACCAAAGGGCTCCACATCATATTCTGCTCCGGGTGGTCCCGGCGGCAAACTATTGTTGTCTCCCAAACGTCTATCGGTAGGTTGCTTTAAAATTAACTCTTCCTCCATTTCGTTAGTCTAGGACTTCTCTTTTTTTCTTTAATTATTTGAGACTTTTTATTTCTCTGCCTTTGCCGGCAGCTGGTTGGCGTCAGTAGCTGGCTTTTTTTTCTTTGGCTTATAAAACACTTTTATTTACGTTGAAATTAATATTTTTATAAAAATATTATAGTAAACCTATTAAATTATATATTTTTTTGAAAAATAACACAAAAAATATTATTTAAAATATGAATTTTAGCAAATTAAAAATGAATTTTGCCATGACTTACAAGAAAAACTATCTGCACAATTTTTCAGCTTTTTTGCAATGAAGCGAAGTTGGCTGCAGTTGTAAACAAAGAGTTGCCATATGTAAGCTTAAAACAAACAATAAGCAAGAGATGCCGTATTATAGCAAATTAATAAAAATAAAGAAATATTTAATAACAAAAACATTTTAATTAAAACTTAATTTATAAATAAATACTTTTTTTATTTTATAAAGCTTAAAAACTAGATTATATTCATTAAATTCCTTAACTAATAAAGAAACCTTAAAAATACAACCATGTGGCTGCTAAATACTACTTTTTACAACTCTGCTTTAGCTGAAATCTGAAAATTGTTTTTGTAAAGCGAGCAGAGACCAGCGCCGAATCGTCGTATAGCCGACTAAGCTTAGCCGCCGAACGAAATGTCAAAGCCGCTGCTTTTACTTCAGACCCTTCAAAAAAAAAGTGTTTGTTACAAACACGAGATACGAAGAAAACATTGCTGTTTGACAAACCGTAAGAGACTAGGACATCGAACATGTGTATTTTAAATGGCAAGATATATTACTTATGTATTCTGAATTCGCCAATGACACTACCTTATAAAATTAAATAAACATTGTGTATTTGAAAACTTAGCCGGCTTACATTCGATTTTAAGCCGCCGCCCACATTTTTAGTATCAGTCGCCATCGCCGTTAACATTTGTCGGCGCAGGGCTTTGAATGCGAGTATTACACATATTTTTTTTTTCATTTTTTGCACAATTTATTAAAGAAAATCGTATAAAATTGCAAGTTTTTATATTTAAACTGTTAAAAAATTATTAAATTTTTGTACAAAAAAATGTCTCTAAACAATGGTTTATCTATAGCAGTGGTTTGTTCTTCAAATATGAATCGTTCAATGGAGGCTCATAATTTTTTAGCCAAAAAAGGTTACAATGTACGTTCCTTTGGCACTGGTGAACGTGTTAAACTGCCCGGTACTGCTATAGATAAACCCAATGTCTATGAATTTGGCACTCCCTACGATACCATATACAATGATCTAGTTAGTAAAGATAAACAATAGTAAGTTCTCGAAAGAAAATTATTAACTCTCATGATAACAAAAGATTTTTCTTCTCTTCTCTAGCTACACCCAAAATGGTCTACTGCACATGTTGGATCGTAATCGTCGCATTAAGAAATGTCCCGAACGTTTTCAAGACTGTCGCGAACAATTCGATATTATTGTTACCGTAGAGGAGCGAGTATACGATCAAGTTTTAGAAAATATGGAATCCCGTGATGTGGTCGACAATCGTCCTGTGCATATATTCAATGTAGATATTGAGGATAATCATGAGGAGGCTTTAATGGGTGCTTTTCTCATAACGGATATGATAAATATGGTAAAAATCTACTACAACTATTCATACAAACTGCTATGGCCACTACGGTGTTTTATCAAATGCTTTAGTTTAGCATTTATGGGGTTGGGGGAAGGAAGATGTTATTGGCAGAGATTTAATGTTGAAGAAGAAAATATACTTAAACGATATGAAATCAATGATAAAACTATTTTGTTTTATGTTTATCTTTAAATTAGTTGGCCTATGTTTTTTTTTGTTGCAGCTGTAGGTTTTTTTGAGGTTATGTTAGGAGAATATTGGTTAAGTTTAAAGGGTATTTGAAAAGTTAGACTTTTTCTTTTAAAGATTTCCTTGATTGTATTTGTTTTATGTGTTTGCTATTTAAATGCTTAAATAATTTCATTTTAGCTTAAAAATATGGCTTATTTTGCGCTTTTCTTAAGTCAATTTAAAATTTTTCGGATTTGATTTGTTTTTTTTTTTTTTTTAATAAGAATGGCTTAACTCAAAGCGGAAGGAGTAACTGGTAGGTTTAACTTAAATCATAAGGGCTAACCAATTATGTCTAAAAAAATAAATGTTTCTAAAGAAAATTCTAAGAAAGACACTTTTCTTCAGAGAATTGTCTAGAAACGAAACTTTTTCTATAGAAAATTGTCTAAAAAGGAAACTTTTCTAAAGCAAATTGTCAAAAGAAGATACTTTTCTATAGACATTTTTCTAACGGATACTTTTCTGTACAGAATTGGCAAAATAAGACACTTTTCTATAGAAAATTGTCTAAAGAATAAACTTTTGTATAGAAAATTGTTTAATGAAGAATATTTTCTATAGAAAATTGTCTAAAAACGAAATTTTTCTAAAGAAAATTGTCGATAGAAGTCACTTTTCTTTAGAAATTTATCTAAAGAACATATATAGTAAATTGTCAAAAAGGTAGTTTTGTATAGAAAATTGTCAAAAAAGGTAGTTTTGTATAGAAAATTGTCTAAAGAAGTCTTTTTTTCTATAGAAAATTTTCTAAAAAAGAAACTTTTATATAGAAAATTGTTTAAAGAAGACAATTTTCTATAGAAAAATGTCTAAAAAAGAAATTTTTCTAAAGAAAATGTTCGAAAAAAAAAAACACTTTTCTATAGAAAATTGTCTAAAAAAGAAATTTTTCTAAAGAAAATTGTCGAAAAATCTTTAAAGAAGACACTTTTCTTCAGAAAATTGTCAAAAAAGACACTTTTCTATAGAAAATTGTCTCAAAAGACACTTTTCTATAGAAAATTGTCTCAGAAGACACTTTTCTATAGAAAATTTTCTAAAGAAGATAATTTTCTATAGAAAATTTTGTAAAGGAGACACTTTTCTGTACGGAATTGTCAAAATTAGACACTTTTCTATAGAAAATTGTTTAAATAATGATGTTTTGTATAGAAAATTGTTTAATGAAGAATATTTTCTATAGAAAATTGTCTAAAATGAAACTTTTTTAAAGAAAATTATCGATAGAAGTCACTTCCCTATAGAAAGTTGTCTAAAGAACATACTTTTATATAGAAAATTGTCAAAAAAGGTAGTTTTGTGTAGAAAATTGTCTAGAGAAGACTATTTTCTATAGAAATTTTTTTTAAAAAATATACTTTTATATAGAAAATTCTTTAAAGAAGACAATTTTCAGAAAATTGTCTGAAAAAGTCACATTTCTATAGAAAATTGTGTAAAAAGGAAACTTTTTTAAAGAAAAAAACACTTTTTTATAGAAAATTGTCGAAAAAAACACTTTTCTATAGAAAATTGTCTAAATAAGACTCTTTTCTATAGAAAATTGTCTAAAGAAGCTAATTTTCTATATAAAATTGACATAATAATTTAGTTTTATATAGAAAATTGTGTAAAAAACTCACTTCTCTATAGAAAATTGTCTAAAAATTATACTTTTCAAAAGAAAATCATTGTGAAAAATACACTTTTCTATAGAAAATTCTCTATAGAAGACACTTTTCTATAGAAAATTCTATATAGAAGACACTTTTCTATAGAAAATGATCTAAAAAATATACTGTTCTATAGAAAATTGTCTAAAGAAGATACTTTCCTATAGAAAATTGTCTAAAAAGTAACTTTTCTGTAGAAGTTTTTGTAACGGAGACACTTTTCTGTAGAAAATTTTTTAAAAAAATACACTTTTCTATAGAAAATTGTCTAAAGAAGATACTTTTCTACAGAATATTGTCTAATGAGAACATTTTTCTTTAGAAAATTTTTAAAAAAAGAATGCTTTCTATAGAAAAGTTTCTAAAGGAATCACCCTTTTATGAGAAGCGTCTAGAGAGCGAGTCAAAAAGAAAACTTTTCTATAGAACAGTGATTAACAAAGTCATCTTTTAGTCTCTAAAGAAAATAGGTTTCCTATTAGATAAACGTTTTCTATTAGAGAAACTAAAAGATCAAATTTTTTTTATAAAATTTTATTAATTTTTTTGTTAAATTTTCTTATTGTCTTTACAGATGTCCAAATCTAGTGATTTAGATAATGATATTGATGAACTTTTACAGGAATTCGAATCGAGACGCAATAAAACTGTTTTACATTCAGTACTTTTTTACTGACACCCCTCCCACTCCTTGAAGTGTCGTTACTTTTTATATAATAATTTATACTTTATAATTTAAAATTGACAAACAGACTTTAAAACTAAACAGATAAACAAATATAAAACAACAACAACAACAAAACAAACTAGTAATAAATAAACAAACAAAAAAGAAACAAATTTATTAAATTAAGTTAATTATATAACAGAGAAAAAAATCATATAAAGAAAAAAAAAAAAAAAAAACAACAACTAAACAATAAAATTGTGTTTCCTTTTAAAAGTATAAGAAAATTTAACAAATTTTTAATTCAAAATCTTTTCAAAATTTTGGCAATTTTGTTTAAAAATTACTTTATATTATCATTTCAAATTAAGTAATCAGTTACAAAAACTATTTAAGAAATGTTTTTTAAAAAAAAGGAACAAAATCATTAAGCTTATGTTAATAATAATAATAATAAAAAATAATAATATTATATCTATTGTTTATACCAAAATATATATTTTAATTTTATTAACTAATAAATAACAAATTTTAATTTTTATTTGAAAAAAAAAATCGAATAATTCCATTTGTCATGCGTTTAATCATGAATCCCCCCCATAACGTGACTTTCGTCTAAACAAGATCATCAGTTGTTTTAGTATGTTTTAATTATTTCTTTACACAACCGTTTAATGTTTTATTCTATTTTCTGTTGATAAGCCAGAGAATTTTGTTAATAAATAAATTATTAAAAAAAAAATCATTATTTCACACAGATAAGCAATCAACTAATAATGTTTGGAAATAAACTAAATAAACGTGCACTAAGTGGTCTAAGAAAAAAAGACTAAACAAATTGGCCTAACCAACAGTTAAGGTACGCTTCTATTAGAAAAGTTCAAAGATCTATAAGAAAAAAGTTCAAAGAAGACTATTTTCTAATAGAAAAGTGTTTAATAAAGATAAATTTTAATAAAACATCTCAAGAAATTATTTTCTAATAGAAAAGTACTCAAAGAAAACAGTTTTCTGTCAGAATTGTCTTAAGGAGACTGTTTTCTAATAGAAAAATTTCTAAATACTTTGTATTCTATCACATAAGTGTCTAAAGAAGGGCCTAAGAAGACTGTTTTCTATAAGAAAACTCTCCAAAGAACTTTATTTTTCATTAGAGCATGTTTAAACAAAAAACGTATTCTATTGGAAAATTGTCTAAAGAAGATTGTTTTTCTAACGGAAAAGTGTCCAAAAAGACTATTTTTCAATAGAAAAGGTCTGAAGAATATTGCTTTCTATCCAAAAGTGTCCAAAAAAATACAGAATTTAGACCAGACTAGACTATAACTCTAGGACTTAGACTATAGACTAATAGAATTAGACTATAGACTAGACTATAGACTAGACTATAGACTAGACTATAGACTAGACTATAGACTAGACTATAGACTAGACTATAGACTAGACTATAGACTAGACTATAGACTAGACTATAGACTAGACTATAGACTAGACTATAGACTAGACTATAGACTAGACTATAGACTAGACTATAGACTAGACTATAGACTAGACTATAGACTAGACTATAGACTAGACTATAGACTAGACTATAGACTAGACTATAGACTAGACTATAGACTAGACTATAGACTAGACTATAGACTAGACTATAGACTAGACTATAGACTAGACTATAGACTAGACTATAGACTAGACTATAGACTAGACTATAGACTAGACTATAGACTAGACTATAGACTAGACTATAGACTAGACTATAGACTAGACTATAGACTAGACTATAGACTAGACTATAGACTAGACTATAGACTAGACTATAGACTAGACTATAGACTAGACTATAGACTAGACTATGGACTAGACTATAGACTAGACTATAGACTAGACTATAGACTAGACTATAGACTAGACTATAGACTAGACTATAGATTAGACTATAGACTAGACTATAGACTAGACTATAGACTTAGACTATAGACTAGACTAGACTATAGACTAGACTATAGACTAGACTATAGACTAGACTATAGACTAGACTATAGACTAGACTATAGACTAGACTATAGACTTATAGACTAGACTATAGACTGAACTATAGACTAGACTATAGACTAGACTATAGACTAGACTATAGACTAGACTATAGACTAGACTATAGACTAGACTATAGACTAGACTATAGACTAGACTATAGACTAGACTATAGACTAGGACTATAGACTAGACTATAGACTAGACTATAGACTCGACTATAGACTAGACTATAGACTAGACTATATGACTAGACTATAGACTAGACTATAGACTAGACTATAGACTAGACTATAGACTAGACTATAGACTAGACTATAGACTAGACTATAGACTAGACTATAGACTAGACTATAGACTAGACTATAGACTAGACTATAGACTAGACTATAGACTAGACTATAAACTAGACTAGACTATAGTTTCGACTAAAGACCTTAGTAGAGACTAGACTACAGTTTCGACTAAAAGCTACACTATAGACTAGACTATAGATTATACTGTAGGCTAGACTTTAGAATAGACTATAGTCTAGACTAGCCTTTAGAGTAATCTACATAGAGTAATCTATTTATAAATTCGTCTTAACCCCCACTTAATACTTCAGCTACTTTTTCTTGCCATTAACTTATTATTAGCCACAGTCAAATAAAAACTATTTTTATTCATAAATTATAAATCGCACTAACAGTAAATATGCACATTTATTTTTTAACTTGCATTTTGTTTACTTTTTTTCAAAAAATGTTTTATGTTACTCAAGGTTATCAATATTTAATACTTTTCTTTTGTAGGCATATTTTTTCTTAACGGTAGACTTGTATTAAAAGGCCTCTTTTTCGCTCTCTTTTTGACTATCTTATCTGTTTTTGACCAAGATAAAAACTAACCATGCTTTGCCAAAAATTTACTAACGTTTCTTTTAAATTTCATTACAATGACTCGAGAGTAAGCACGCGGTGAAAACGTTAGAGGTTTTAATTTTTTGTAAGAAAAAAACGTTTAAAAATTAATAAAAATTTGAGTGTATTTTAAATGTAAATAAATACAATATTTTGTATTAAAATATACAATATTAATATTAAAAATAAAGTGGATTTAAAAAAAAAATTAACTGTAAATTAAAAAATTTATAAATAAAAAGAAATTTAAAAAGGTTATTATAAAATTTATCTAACAAAACGTGGGAGTTATTTTTGCATGTAAGTAATTAATGTAATAAACTACTGTTGTAGCCAGCCCTGTTAGTTGTCACTAGCTCTTGCTCTCTCTACTATCTGTCAGTCATGCTGTTAAACAACAACTACAGCTTTTTTGTTTACATTTTGCCCATGTGTTTGTCTTGTTTGTGTGTTTTGCTCACCTTACAAAATTCTTTAATGAAAAAAAAACTCAAAATTGTTTAATAAAATTATAATTTTTTATTGTTTTTTTTGTTATAAATCCCAACCTAAACTAAACACACAACTTTTTATACATATATTTTCATGTACAGAGATCTTTTAATGATTCATACAACACAAAAAAAAAATAGAGATTGTGGATTGGGGAAAAAATCCACTTGTTGCTTGCATTTGAAGCCACCAGCTAACCACCAGTTTTTAAATGATCAGTCTTATAATTACTGTTGTTAAGTTCACACATGGTGTGTTTCGCTAAATGCAAAAGTTTTATAAATAATTTAAAAAAATAATAAACAAAAAGCTAAAAATACCTATAAATCGGAAATCGTATGATTAAATAAAAGCGTGTTTTTTTGTAATTTATACTAAATAAAATCACCATTTACAATTTACAATTTACCTTACAAAAAAAAAACGTTTATACGTCTTAATAAATTGTGTTTGAGTTGCTACAAATAAGTGTTCATTTTTTTTTATAAGAAAGTTTATTTTTTTTTTGTTAAAAAAAATTTTATACAAAAATGGATTTATTGAAAACTACCAGCAATAAAAATGGTAAGTTTCTTTTCTTTTTTGGCTTTGTTAGTTTGAAAATAACAACTACCGGCTCTTTTGTAATAATCGTTCCAAATATGAGTTATTTTTGTGGGTCAGTTATAGTTTTTGTTTTGTATTCCCCGATTTAGGGTTGCCATTTAATTTCGAAAAGTAAAGTCGTTAAAAAAGCACTAGAAAAATGTTTACACCGGTTGGCCAATACCTCGTTTTATATTGAAATAATTTGATCATAGACAATACTATAGACTTTAGTCGAGTTTAGCCCATAGACTAGTCTATAGTCTAGACTAAAGACTAGCCTATAGTTTAGCCTATAGATTAGCCTATATAGTATAGCCTATTCTGTAGTCTAGTCTATAGTCTTGTCCAGTGTAGTCTCAAGTTTATAATCTAATCTATAGTCTATACACTATAGTCTAGTCTATAGTCTAGTCTATAGTCTAGTCTATAGTCTAGTCTATAGTCTAGTCTATAGTCTAGTCTATAGTCTAGTCTATAGTCTAGTCTATAGTCTAGTCTATAGTCTATCTAGTCTAGTCTATAGTCTAGTCTATAGTCTAGTCTATAGTCTAGTCTATAGTCTAGTCTATAGTCTAGTCTATAGTCTAGTCTATAGTCTAGTCTATAGTCTAGTCTATAGTCTAGTCTATAGTCTAGTCTATAGTCTAGTCTATAGTCTAGTCTATAGTCTAGTCTATAGTCTAGTCTATAGTCTAGTCTATAGTCTAGTCTATAGTCTAGTCTATAGTCTAGTCTATAGTCTAGTCTATAGTCTAGTCTATAGTCTAGTCTATAGTCTAGTCTATAGTCTAGTCTATAGTCTAGTCTATAGTCTAGTCTATAGTATAGTCTCGTCTAGTCTATAGTCTAGTCTATAGTCTAGTCTATAGTCTAGTCTATAGTCTAGTCTATAGTCTAGTCTATAGTCTAGTCTATAGTCTAGTCTATAGTCTAGTCTATAGTCTAGTCTATAGTCTAGTCTATAGTCTAGTCTATAGTCTAGTCTATAGTCTAGTCTATAGTCTAGTCTATAGTCTAGTCTATAGTCTAGTCTATAGTCTAGTCTATAGTCTCTATAGTCTAGTCTATAGTCTAGTCTATAGTCTAGTCTATAGTCTAGTCTATAGTCTAGTCTATAGTCTAGTCTATAGTCTAGTCTATAGTCTAGTCTATAGTCTAGTCTATAGTCTAGTCTATAGTCTAGTCTATAGTCTAGTCTATAGTCTAGTCTATAGTCTAGTCTATAGTCTAGTCTATAGTCTAGTCTATAGTCTAGTCTATAGTCTAGTCTAGTCTATAGTCTTTTCTATAGTCTAGTCTATAGTCTAGTCTATAGTCTAGTCTATAGTCTAGTCTATAGTCTAGTCTATAGTCTAGTCTATAGTCTAGTCTATAGTCTAGTCTAGTCTAGTTCTAGTCTAGTCTAGTCTATAGTCTAGTCTATAGTCTAGTCTATAGTCTGTCTATAGTCTAGTCTATAGTCTAGTCTATAGTCTAGTCTATAGTCTAGTCTATAGTCTAGTCTATAGTCTAGTCTATAGTCTAGTCTATAGTCTGTTCTATAGTCTAGTCTATAGGTCTATAGTCTAGCTAGTCTAGTCTATAGTCTAGTCTATAGTCTACTCTATAGTCTAGTCTATAGTCTAGTCTATAGTTAGTCTATAGTCTAGTCTATAGTCTAGTAGTAGTCTATAGTCTAGTCTATAGTCTAGTCTATGTCTAGTCTAGTCTATAGTCTAGTCTATAGTCTAGTCTATAGTCTAGTCTATAGTCTAGTCTATAGTCTAGTCTATAGTCTAGTCTATAGTCTAGTCTATAGTCTAGTCTATAGTCTAGTCTATAGTCTAGTCTATAGTCTAGTCTATAGTCTAGTCTATAGTCTAGTCTATAGTCTAGTCTATAGTCTAGTCTATAGTCTAGTCTATAGTCTAGTCTATAGTCTAGTCTATAGTCTAGTCTATAGTCTAGTCTATAGTCTAGTCTATAGTCTAGTCTATAGTCTAGTCTATAGTCTAGTCTATAGTCTAGTCTATAGTCTAGTCTATAGTCTAGTCTATAGTCTAGTCTATAGTCTAGTCTAGTCTATAGTCTAGTCTATAGTCTAGTCTATAGTCTAGTCTATAGTCTAGTCTATAGTCTAGTCTATAGTCTAGTCTATAGTCTAGTCTATAGTCTAGTCTATAGTCTAGTCTATAGTCTAGTCTATAGTCTAGTCTATAGTCTAGTCTATAGTCTAGTCTATAGTCTAGTCTAGTCTATAGTCTAGTCTATAGTCTAGTCTATAGTCTAGTCTATAGTCTAGTCTATAGTCTAGTCTATAGTCTAGTCTATAGTCTAGTCTATAGTCTAGTCTATAGTCTAGTCTATAGTCTAGTCTATAGTCTAGTCTATAGTCTAGTCTATAGTCTAGTCTATAGTCTAGTCCATAGTCTAGTCTATAGTCTAGTCTATAGTCTAGTCTATAGTCTAGTCTATAGTCTAGTCTAGTCTAGTCTAGTCTAGTCTAGTCTAGTCTAGTCTAGTCTAGTCTAGTCTAGTCTAGTCTAGTCTAGTCTATAGTATAGTCAAGTCTAAAGTCTAGTCTACAGTCTAGTCTACGTCTAGTCTATAGTCTAGTCTATAGTGCAGCCTATAGTTAGTCTATAGTATAGACTATAGTATGCTCAATGTTATAGTCTATATATAGACTAGACTATAGTCTAGTATATAGTCTAGTCTATAGTGTAGTCTATAGTCTAGTCTAGTCTATAGTCTAGTCTAGTCTAGTCTAGTCTAGTCTATAATCTAGTCTATAGTCTAGTCTAATCTAATATAATCTAGTCTATAGTATAGTATAGTATAGTCTATAGTCTAGTCTATAGTTATAGTCTATAGTCTAGTCTATAGTTATAGTCAATAGTCTAGTCTATAGTCTAGACTATAGTTATAGTCTATAGTCTAGTATATAGTTATAGTCTATAGTCTAGTCTATGGTCTAGTCTATAGTCTAGTCTATAGTCTAGTCTATAGGCTAGTCTATAGTCTAGTCTATAGTCTAGTCTATAGTCTAGTCTATAGTCTAGTCTATAGTCTAGTCTATAGTCTAGTCTATAGTCTAGTCTATAGTCTAGTCTATAGTCTAGTCTATAGTCTAGTCTATAGTCTAGTCTATAGTCTAGTCTATAGTCTAGTCTATAGTCTAGTCTATAGTCTAGTCTATAGTCTAGTCTATAGTCTAGTCTATAGTCTATAGTCTAGTCATAGTTAGTCTATAGTCTAGTCTATAGTCTAGTCTATAGTCTAGTCTGTAGTCTAGTCTATAGTCTAGTCTATAGTATAGTCTATAGTCTAGTCTATAGTCTAGTCTATAGTCTAGTCTATAGTCTAGTCTATAGTCTAGTCTATAGTCTAGTCTATAGTCTAGTCTATAGTCTAGTCTATAGTCTAGTCTATAGTCTAGTCTATAGTCTAGTCTATAGTCTAGTCTATAGTATGCTCAATGTTATAGTCTATATATAGACTAGTCTATAGTCTAGTATATAGCCTAGTCTATAGTGTAGTCTATAGTCTAGTCTAGTCTATAGTCTAATCTATAGTCTAGTCCATAGTCTATAGTTATAGTCTATAGTCTAGCCTAAAGACTAGTCTACGTCTAGTCTATAGTATAGCCTATAGTTAGTCCATAGTATAGTCTATAGACTATACTATATATGTAGTATATAATACTATAGACTTTAGTCGAGTCTAGCCCATAGACTAGTCTATAGTCTAGACTAAAGACAAGACCAAAGACTATACTAAAAACTAGTTTAGCCTATAGATTAGTATATATATTATAGCCTATTCTGTAGCCTAGTCTATAGTCTTGTCCAGTTTAGTCTCATGTTTATATTCTAATCTATAGTCTAGTCTATACACTATAGTTTAGTCGATAGTATAGTCCACAGTCTAGTGTATAGTCTAGTCAACAGTATAGTCTATAGTCTAGTTTATAGTCTAGTCTATAGTCTAGTCTACAGTCTAGTCTATAGTCTAGTCTATAGTCTAGTCTATAGTCTAGTATATAGTCTAGTCTATAGTCTAGTCTATAGTCTAGTCTATAGTCTAGTCTATAGTCTAGTCTATAGTCTAGTCTATAGTCTAGTCTATAGTCTAGTCTATAGTCTAATCTATAGTCTAGTCTATAGTCTAGTCTAGTCTATAGTCTAGTCTATAGTCTAGTCTATAGTCTAGTCTATAGTCTAGTCTATCTATAGTCTAGTCTATAGTCTAGTCTATAGTCTAGTCTATAGTCTAGTCTATAGTCTAGTCTATAGTCTAGTCTATAGTCTAGTCTATAGTCTAGTCTATAGTCTAGTCTATAGTCTAGTCTATAGTCTAGTCTATAGTCTAGTCTATAGTCTAGTCTATAGTCTAGTCTATAGTCTAGTCTATAGTCTAGTCTATAGTCTAGTCTTTAGTCTAGTCTATAGTCTAGTCTATAGTCTAGTCTATAGTCTAGTCTATAGTCTAGTCTATAGTCTAGTCTATAGTCTAGTCTATAGTCTAGTCTATAGTCTAGTCTATAGTCTAGTCTATAGTCTAGTCTATAGTCTAGTCTATAGTCTAGTCTATAGTCTAGTCTATAGTCTAGTCTATAGTCTAGTCTATAGTCTAGTCTTTAGTCTAGTCTATAGTCTAGTCTATAGTCTAGTCTATAGTCTAGTCTATAGTCTAGTCTATAGTCTAGTCTAGTCTATAGTCTAGTCTAGTCTATAGTCTAGTCTATAGTCTAGTCTATAGTCTAGTCTATAGTCTAGTCTATAGTCTAGTCTATAGTCTATAGCCTATAGTCTATAGACTAAAGTCTATAGTCTATAGTCTATAGTCTATAGTCTATAGTCTATAGTCTATAGTCTATAGTCTATAGTCTATAGTCTATAGTCTATAGTCTATAGTCTATAGTCTAGTCTAGTCTAGTCTAGTCTAGTCTATAGTCTATAGTCTATAGTCTATAGTCTATAGTCTATAGTCTATAG